TTAAGCTCCTTAAATCCCTATATTCACCCAGTTTCCATTTCATTTTCCATTTTCTTTTCCATTTGATTCTCCATTATAGGGGGATAATCCCTCAATTTAGGTTCCTTAACAGCAACCCAGGTCCTTCCAGCAGTTGGCAGCAAGGATTGAAGACTTGTCCTACCAAATTCAGGTGGGAGCTCCTCTTAGGGTTTAGGGTTTAGGGTCTCACTTAAGTTATATGGGGGGTAATATGGGGATAAGGGAAAATACAATGGGAACTGCTAGTTAGGGTTTTAGGGTTTAGGGTTCGGGGTTTTGGTTTTAGGGAAGGTTTGCCCGTAAAACGCTAAATTCGAAACCCTACATGAATACATACACAAGTAGTTGATACCCTATTACAAACAGACCCCATCATTTTGACCACCCTCAGGTGCTGAAACCCAGAGATTTGTCCCTCGCAGCAGCCCAGACGTCTGAATACGAAGGACTTCAACTTGATTCTGGCTTGTTGTTTAGGGTTTAGGGTTGAGGATTTAGGGCTTGGGGTTTAGGGCTCGATTTTAAGTCCCCATACACTGGTTGTATGGTAAATCACGGGCTTTCCTAAGTGTATAGTACTTGAATCCAGAACAACCTTATGCTGGCCTTTTGTTGTGGAACTGGGCTTTAGGTGCTGTGATATGGCTGTGTAGTAAATAATAAGTCTAAGAGGGTTTCCTAACCAGCGGAGTTGAATGCGAAGCCCAAACCCTAAACACTAAATCCTAAAGCCTTGAACCCTAAATACCGTTTAAACAATAGTTTCCTTTTCTTTTTCCATCATCCCCAATCTATTTCCTTTGTATAACCTTCATAATCACAACCAAAGATGGACCCTAAATCCCTATACTCGCAACCGAGGATTTTACACCCTGAACCCCGATACGCGTAAACCCTGAACCCTAAACCTTAAAACTGGAAATAGTAGCTTCCATTTTATTTTCCATTATCCCCAAAATATCCACTATCTAACCCCTTAATCACACCCAAGGATGGACCCTACCCTACACCCTAAACCCTAAACCCTGAACTCTGAACCCTAAATTCTAAGCC